GAGGCTGCGGACAGGCTGGCGGGATCTGGTCCATCTGGTCCCCGCTTCACCAAGAACGTACCACTCCTAGACGTCAAGCGTTGGATCGCGAATATTATCATGGAAGCCTGGCAGGAGGAATGGTTTCAGTCGCGGACCACTTTCCTGAGAAAGATCAAAGAAACCGTACGACCCTGGCTAGACAGTCACAAGTACAAGGACCAACGGATCATTTCAAGACTCCGGACCGGCCATGCGAGGATTTCCCACAATTTTGGTGGGACACCCTTCCACAAGGTTTGTCCAATCTGCAGCATCCCTGCCTCGGTGGAACACGTGCTGTGTGTCTGCCCAGAGTTTCAAAGGCTACGCGAACAACACCGACTCCCAGAGAACATCAGGGAGCTACTTGGCAACGACCCCTCGACGCTGGCTGCGCTGATTGCTTTCTTGAAGGACGCCCACCTGTACAACCAAATCTAGCACTCTCGTCGTTGGCTGCGCTGTCCGCGTTCTTCCACCTTCCTATTTTCCTGCCGTCGGGGTATCTCTGCCGGACTGTCTCACTGTCTCTTACGGTGGAGCTCTACCTTGTTCGCGCATCCATTCCTCACCACAGTCCCGATGTAACTCCCATTTTACATTAAGTTTTTTTTTTTAAATGTTGTTCCAGAGCCAGTTTTACGTTACGTTAATGTTAGACTGAAACGTTTCCTTAGAGGCAGGCCCTAAGCCTGACCTTCTACTATCAAATGTGATGAACTAGCCTACGGCTAAAAATCACAAAAATAAAAAAAAAATAAAAAAAAAAGATTACAAGAAGCAATTTAATATAGCTGTTTTTAAGGAGTCAAATTTTTAACTCCAGGAGCATACCCGAGCAAAAAGGAAAGCAAAAGTAATATATTTATGAAATTATGAGTTTATTTTTTCCAGTGTACTCTGAGTTTTTTTAGCAGTAGTGTATACCCGTCCTTTGCATATTTTGTTTAAAATTTAACAAACAAAATTTAAACATCATTTAACAACAAAATACTTGGATACTTTTTCCTTATTTGCGTGGAATGATCTTTGTCTTGCAAAAACACTTCAGCCTATTGCTCTTTATTTAATACTTATACCAATATTTTTTATAATGCAGGTATAAAATAAACTCATCAAAACTTAATGCTACTTAAGAAGGACTTGTTGCCAAGCCATTTTTCTATTCAAAACCATCTATTGAAGAAAAAGGCATTTTTTGGTAAGATAACAAAATATAAAGATCATCTTCAGTTTTCATTGAAAGTTGTTGAACAACATCCCTGCATGTTTCCAACAAGTATACGTATTACATTAAAACAAAGTATGAAATACATTAATCTTGCCTCACAGAAAGTAGATTTCCACATCATGATTTTTTTCTCATTAATATTACACTAAAATCTCCCATTAGTTGTTGTTGAACACTGCATTTTATTGTGGAAGATAAATGTTATGTTTACTTTGTTTTAATGTAGTCCGTAAACTTGTTGGAAACGTGCGGCGATGTTGTTCAACAACTTTCAACATTAATTGCATGTGTATGCTGATATGTTATACCCTATACTTACCACATTTTTTTTTCGCTGTTTTGAAATGTTGAATTCAATTTGAAGAAAGCTAAGATGAATATTTACTCATGAATGAACTTTGACAGGAGGCAGATAACTAACGACTGTAAGAAGCAACATCAATAGCATCGTTTTACTATATTTTACAAGGCCTACTTTGATCAAATTTGCGCAGCAATAAATTTTACGGATTTTCCGTATTTTCTGGACCACCTGGTGATAACTCGAAGCAAATGACCAGCGAATATATAAAAAATCACCATATTACTACATTCCATTCAGTTGCAGGGAACAAGCAAGGCCTGCTTTGATAAAATTTACACATAAATCAATTTTACGGATGTTTCGGACCTTCTCACGGACCATCTGGTGACTACTCAGAGCCATTGAACAGCTAATGTATCTAAAATCACCATTTTACTACACTTCACATAGTTGCAGAGTAAAATCAAGGCCTACTTTGATCAAATTTACGCAGCAATAAATTTATCAGATTTTCCGGATCTTCCAGCGGGTTATGTCGTGACCACTCGGATCAATTGAACAGCTAATATAACAAAAATCACCATTTTACTACATTTCACGTAGTTGCAGAGCAAAATCAAGGCCTACTTTAATCAAATTTACGCAGCAATACATTTTACGGATGTTCCGGATCTTTCGGCGAGCCACTTGGAGGCAGTGACCAGCTAATATATAAAAAACCATAATTTTACTTCATTATATACAGTTGCAATGAAAAATCAAGGCTTATTTTGATGAAATTTACGTAGCAACCAATTTTACGGATGTTCCAGATCTTTTGGTGGGTCATCTGGTGACCATTTGGAGCCAATGACCAGCTAATATTTCAGAAATCACCATTTTACTGTATTCCATATAATAGTGGAGGAAAATCAAGGCCTACTTTGATCAAATTTACACAGCAATCAATTTTACGGATGTTCCGTATCTACCAGCATCTGGTGATAACTCGGAGCCATTGAACAGCTAACATATCAACAATCAGCATTCTACTACATTTCACATTGTTGCAAAGCAAAATCAAGGCCTATTTTGATCAAATTTGCGCAGCAATAAATTTTACGGATCTTCCGGATCTTCCGGTGGGTCATCTGGTGACCACTTGGATCCAACGACCAGCACCATTTTACTATACTCCATATAATTGAAGAGGAAAATCATGGCCTACTTTGATCAAATTTACACAGCAATCAATTTTACGGATGTTCCGTATCTACCAGCGAACCACCTGGTGATAACTCGGAGCCATTGAACTGCTAACACATAAAAAATCACCATTTTACAACATTTCTCATTGTTGCAGAGAAAAATCAAGGCCTACTTTGATCGAATTTATGTAGCACTAAATTTTACGGATGTTTCGGATCTTCCGGCGGATCATCTGGTGACCACTTGGAGCCATTGAAACACTATATATCTAAAATCATGAATTTACTACATTTCATATAGTTGCAGAGAATAATCAAGGCCTACTTTGATAAAAAATACATAATAATCCAGATTAAGGTTGATCCGGGTCATCGGAAGGCCTTCCGGTGGACGCTCAGTATTTAGAATAAGGTTATGGGTTGATTTTGTTAAAATATTAATCAGCACTACCCATAGATGCCTGTTCCTGTGGATTACCAGCACCACCTTGTTCTAGACGACTGGTACCTTTTCTCCTCCCGATGGCCTCTCGGAAACCCGGAATAAAACCGGAACCACTTGGCCAATCTGTTCCAATTTTTAGTAGACTATAACTTCGAACATTTTTCTACTCACTGTGAAAATTTCAACCAATTTCATGGTTAAACAAAAAAGTTATACCTATGCAAACATTGCTATTCGTATACCTGTTCGTAAAAATAAAAACTGCACAAGCGCGTTAGGCCCTCCCCAGAAGTAAAGCAGGTGGTGTTCGTTTGAAACGCCAATAACTTTTCGGGGGTAACTCGGATTCACATCCGGTCTTCAGCCAAGATGTTCCCAATACTCCAAAGGTGCTACATTTTGTACACGAAGAAAATCGACCCACTACAGCGCCACCTAGAGCCGCGAATGTGAAAGTGGCTCGCTCCCCCATACATTTTGTCGATTTTCCCCATACAAACTTCAAGCCGTTTGAGCGAGGGGTTCCCGTGAACCAAATGACTTCAAATTTTGGTAGGGTGTTTCTGACCCCCAAAACTACCATTCCAGAGGGTAGCGTTTGAAATCCCAGATTTGACCTATTTTGAAACACTCTACTGTACATTATAAACAATGTTTGTCAACCTTGTAGTGAATAGTGCCATTTATTGATGAATTTCAAATCTATTGGCGCAACTTTAAACTGCAGACTTTAAAATTGTATTCGGTATAAAATCGATCGATGAATTGCTGAGTAATGATGTTTCAAACATTGCCATTTTTTCTGTTACACATTTTACTGGAGGCAGCGTGTTCTGAGTGTTAGCCAGACTGGGATATCACGCATATGCTGGCTGGAGAGGCCCCATTAGATGCTTATTGCATACTGAAAGCTTCATATTTTTCCTCATTGAACTAACAGCAGCAGTATCCAATAGGTCCTCCAGTATGATCCATTTTGTCTCTGCCAATCTTTATAATATGAAACATGACATTCGTTGAAACGGCAATAAAACCAAGTTCAACTCAATTTTTCAATCACTTTGAATCACGCCACTTTTGATCTAACCGTTCCATTTAAGACACATCCATAACAGCACCCTAAAATTTTTGCATCACCCTTATATTAATCAATTTCTGCACGTCAAACTGAATTCACAATTCTGAGCTCAAATGATTTATTCACCATCTCACGCGAATATTCAAAACTTGTTCAACGTGTCAGCACTGCCACACGCTACGTTCATTCGAGACGGCCTACGTTGGTTACCATGTTGTGTTGCTTGCCTGTCCCGACATTCCTTATTATAACGCTCCTCCACCTATGCCTCTCCTTATTTAAAACCTGATTTCATTCTATTTTGCACAAAACCCCATGCATGTTTATCAATATTTCAATTTCAATTTCAGTCTGGATCCTAAAACAAATCAATTTCGTTTTTTTTTTTCGTCCACGCATTCTGGATTATGAATAATTTATTTTGCGATAAGGATTTTTTTGAAGGTGTGCTTTTGTGTTAAATTCAGTATTCGTGAATTCCTTTGAGCAGGACATGTTTCATGACACAGTGCATGCCTTTTATAATGACGTTGTCTTCATTTTAGTTCAGTTCAGTATGCTATCCCTTCCTGAAATCATATTTTTATTTTAAATTGCATCAATTTCATATTTTACTAGATTGGGCATATTATGCATTTTTTTAATCTTTTTTCGCTTTACTACAAGCACATTTCCATAAAGTTGGAACCGAGATATCGTAAGACTAAATTTTACTCATTTTTAATTCCCAGACTTCAACCAACATTACAATCAAGTCAACAACAGATGACACAGGGTATGTCAAGTACGAACACAAATACAGGATCACGGTTAGGTGGATCCTCACCTCTAGTAATGCCAGTATTCCCCCTAAGAACATCACATTCTGGGCATGCGCCTCATTACTCGCCATACTCACCCTCAAGGTAAATATCTATCTTCTTGTATATATGTGCTACCCGTTCAATCATCCATCAATCTGCAATAATTGCTTTATTAGATAGTATTTATGAAATCTACTCAACATATTCTTAAATATTGAAACAATTCTTCAAATTTATATTATTTAAAGACTAAAACTTCGGTCCTATTAAATTTGTTTGGTGTAAAAGACGATTATGCGCCTTTCCGTGGAGTTACTGACTAAATTGCCTGTGTAAAGGATTGTCGAAATAGAAAGGAATATTAAAAATAGCTATGATTGTATGTTCACCTTCAAAGACGAAATTCATAAAACTTTGTTTGACGTCTTTTTGTCCTGGGGTCATAAGGACACCCGTGTTGAACCATTAAAGATCAGGACGTCACAAGATCAGCTTCAATCGACAAAATCGATGCGACGAAATGATTTGAAAGCCATAATAAGGTACCATTTCAATTAAAAAATCGACATTACTTTCATTGAAAGCGAGCCTTTTGTTCTAAGCTTGCTGATAGTCTAGAAATGATGCGTTGAACACGTTGTAGAGCATTGGCATGAGCATGATTGACCGCCCACGGTTGCTACTCTGTTATTGCCAGATAAGCTGTACTTACACAGATAACCAATAGACGATGCTGGGACTAGCAATCATCCTCAATGTATAAAAACTGGTGATCTCAAACTAGACAAATCCTCTACACTTCCACGAGGAATCACTGGGATGTTGGATACGAGGGTAGGGTTTGCAGCAGGGTTCGTTTTGGTAAACGATAAGCTGAATTCATGCCCTAACGATAGGGAGGGGATACTGTATAAATAAATAAAAGGGAATGATATCACCCAAATAACCAAGTGGAGCTGCACCAACAGCAACTGGCCTCCTCGTAGACTTTCTTCGACCCATCGCAGGTATCTCCTTCAAACACAGACGCCGAAATTCCGGATCCATCTCATCGATATATAATTAATAAAATATAACAAAATACAAACAACCTCGATCTTCTCACTCAATTTTTTTTAACTTATGCTATATATGAATACTTTAATTGCATGGTATTATTGAACTCAATTTTGCCTATTGAATGAATCCACAATTTAAGTAAAGATTCCATTTGTTAAATAATCCAGGTTATTTGAGCATGCAAGAGTTATAAAAACAAGTATCCATGAATAATTTTTAAAATAGCTAAACTCTGCAAAGGTAAAACAATTTAACATTGATCTAATGTATGATGATATCCAATTGATTCTCTGGGTAATCCAAATTCTGAAAACCATAGATCATATAATATTATAATAAAATACCAATGATATACTATTTGATACAGCTTCTGGTCCTTCAGGATCTGCAGGATAATTATTTTCTTTAAATGAAAATTTTAGTTATAATGAAATAATGATAATATAATTTACAAGTTATGCAATATATAAAATATAATTATTGTAAAATAAACAAGTATTACAAAATACAAATAAGCTCGATTTTAGTTAACCTCAATACATTTAACATTCAACTTTTGATATTTTATTGGAATTGAAACAAACACTTTATTATACACCAGGGAATGGCTTAACTCAATATGGAATGCTTTTAAAAATATTGTCAAACTTTAATAATGAATCAATAGTCACAAAAATCGAGGTTATTTGGACAGTTAACAGTACATTTTTTTTATATTTTCCTAAAGGAAGGCTGAAAAAAGTGAATCATTATAATATTAATCTAAAAATGTCCCATCATCAAAGAGCTGAAAATAAACTTAAAGAATCCTGATGAATGTGGGCGTCTTAGTGGAATACCTGTATAATGAGAGAGAGAGAAGGATTAGTATTTTCCATTTAATTCCACTACTTTATTTGCTTATCCTTGACAGATACGCGTATTTCGTCTACAATGTGCAGACTTCTTCAGTGTCTTGTACTAATACTTGACAGTCGAGTATTAGTACAAGACACTGAAGAAGTCTGCACATTGTAGACGAAATACGCGTATCTGTCAAGGATAAGCAAATAAAGTAGTGGAAGTAAATGGAAAATACTAATCCTTCTCTCTCTCATTAAACTTAAAGATTTAAATCAATAAACCCAGCTGGAATAAACGGAGGACTGGCGAACATAATAAGCTCCCTCATAACTCATATTCCGAATCTGATTAAATAAGTATTAACAAGTGAATAAATAAATATATCAAACAAGTAATGTATTTTTCTCTGCTCGAAAGGAAAAATAAAATGGGTAATTGCACTGTTACGATGATGTTAAGTTGCTTCTTCCAGATGTGTTTTGATCCTGTTTTAAATATTGATCATTGAATATATTATAATAATATACTATGACCTGAGATTTATTCAAACTCAAACTCCACGGTGGTGCCCTTTACACAAGGATAAGCCTCTACTACCGATGATCTTTTAAACCTGGATGTCGACCGAACTTCTATTGCGTTTTAAAACGACTGTTTTTTCTTTCATATTTCGTCGTCAAAATCACCAGACCCCACAATCAAACACGACCCGCCGTGACTACCGTCAGACTTCAACCACGGCCCTTATGATCATGTTAAGGACACACCTAACAACACAACAAAAACTGATCGGTCAAGTGCCAAGCTTGCATATTCGATAGCGACATATATTTTCTTAACGATACATGCTTCAACATTAAAAAAAATCATAATCGATTATTCGTAGAAACCAGAGGAACAAGCTTCATGCGATCGAGGTCATCCCTCTGACAAATGCGAACGATGAAAATAAATCTCGATTACTCCATCCGAAGGGTCGCATCCGCTCCCACAAACAATGCATCCGATCCCCAATCCGGCGCAACTGGCATCCCGCCCACGCATGTCAACACCACCACCAGATACGGGAAATTTTCCTCAACCATATAGCGGCGCAGCACGCGCGGGCTAGCCACCAGCCACACCAAACCGACTATCAAACGCACTGCCCACAAAAACAGACAGGGGACGTGCAATCGAGAAATGTATAAGAACAATCTTCAACTGGAACGTATTCACCAAATCAATATTCCCGATGCTTAATTTTCTCTTGTCATTTTTAAACAATTCCTCCTCCAGCGAATCCAACCAAACAATAACTAAATATCACTTTTATTCTTCAAGTCACTCTGTGCACAAAAGCAATGCACACCGTAAAAACCTAATAATAGATCAGCGCGGTCGAGTCACACCGTCAACAAAGGGAGCGAGAGCACACTAGGCACCTAAGCAACGGGGGGGAAACATCAGCACAAACCATTCTAAATCAAATTATCGCGTCCGGGACACAAAACTATTCAAATGCGTGCACCGAAAAACTACACGGCAGCACAAAGATAGCCCTGGCTCTAAAAAAAAGCACGCCGCGTAGCAAAAACACACAACCGTTCTCGGACGATCCTCAAAGCGGACTCCAATGCGTTGAACACGTTGTAGGCAAAACAAAAACTCGAGTTCATTTTAGAGCTACGAAAATGTAGAGCCCTGCCTAAGATATTGTTCGACAATTTGACTCCAGCAATGTATAAGAGTGCCCAAAGACAACAAACCAACAAGAAAGTCGGTCAACAGGAGTTTTGTTGTTTTAGTATCTCAGACACACTTTGAATTGTAGAAAGTTGATGGTAGAAAATAAGTTCAAAGTAGTAGGGTAGGGTGGGGCAAGTGTGCTAAATGGGTGCCACCCCCAATAAATTTGAAAATAATGCTGACCCACCCATGAACTCATGAATGGTGTTACTATGAAGCATTATAGAAAGTCCGGTCCGAAATGAAGTCTTACAAAAATAGCAAAACTTATTTGGAGTGGATGTGTTGAAAATCAAGATTATTTATAATAATTAAGCATAATAAAATAAAGTTTTCTGGATTTCCGAAAATTTGTTCGCACAATTCATGTATTGAGCCATCACTATTAAAAATTGATTGTTCCTATAATAACAAAGAAATGGTAGATATTTTCTTTAATTGATCACAAATCATCTTCTTAAAAACATGATAGAAACTTGCAATTTGTTGTACACACTCGTATAAATAACCACAATATTACTATTCCATCTATAAATTCTAAGCATACAACGAAAGAAATAATTGAAACTCGCTTTACGGTTTTTAAATTTTTCATCTATTTCCTAATAACAAGCTGAGAAAATTATGTTTACAATACACCCGTCCAAAAAATATAAGATTTCATTACAGATTTGGATAAAAAGAATACAGAATTTGTAATGTTTCATCGCATGAACACGCAAACCAAAAAATTATTACATTCAATGTTAGTTACATTTCCTATCATCCTTCGCAGCGAATACCGCAGAAAATGATATAAGTTGGGCATGCAGAAGATGCAATTATTTTTTGTCTCTTCTATTTTGTCTTCTTTCGATATTTTCGAAAGTAGGGTAGAGCGCTACTTCGTCGTAATCTTCCATTTCCGTTCTATCGAGCAGAAAACATCAGTAGGGTAAACGCTCCTATAGTTGCGGTACGTTAGAAGCGTTAGGTTCCTATAGTTGTGTATTGAGTCTTCATGCACAACTATATGAACCTAACGCTTCTAACGTACCGCAACTATAGGAGCGTTTCCCCTATAATGAATGATTTCAAGACGCACAAATCAGTAATACGTTTGTACCGATGCGTTAGTTCACAAGCTACAACACAAAGCCTATTAGAGCGTATTGTGTGCATATTTACACTCATTGCTCTCAAAACAAAAGAAGCGTTCCTAGAGAATTCGCTTTTTCTACCTTCATCCGTAGGACGAAGAAAATCCAATGGCTTTTCAATGCGTTTGGACGGAATTGAAACTCGTAGGACGAATTTGGAATCAAGAAGCAGTATTAGATTTTAACAATATCTCAACAATGTGTTCTTCTTTATGAAATTCAACGCTACTTATGGAAAGAAGCCATCTTTGGTAGAAACATTTTATTTATTGTTAAAACCCGTTCAATCAAGAGAAGTTAAACGTAGGTTGTGCTTAGTAGGACGGAAATTAG